TGCTGCCTCTCCTTGCTCCCTCTGTTGGGGGGAGGGGCTGTGTCCCACCTCTCCCTCTCTATACCCATTCATAAGCCGACCCCCTTCTCTGGTGCTTCCCTTTTTTACTAAAAAAATTCGGCTTATGAACAAGTATATATGGTGTATATATAGTGACATTTAGTTCCAGAGATGAACTAAAATAAACTGGCCTGTTGCACTTTGCATACCTGATCAATTTCATACTCTGGTTCTCATGCACTGACACAGTCTTACATAGTTCAGGTAAGTACAAGCCAAGAGATTTTACACTGAAATTTTTGTTGCGTCACTGATATGTTTCTATTGTTTTTGAGTTCTGTAAAACCTTGCTTTTACTAAATCCAAGTTTGATGATTCTCTCATTCTGTGTCCCCTTTTCAGTGTTTAATTATTGTTGAGAGATAAGAACTTACCAAGCATAGACTGAAGGGGGAAAAAAACAAAAATAAAACAGACTTTCCTTACAACTTCCATCAAGTTCATTGACTAGCTTCCCATCAAAGTCAGCCTTCATTCTACCTCTCCACCCCTTTTGCAAATGAAATTAAGAGGCAGCAGGTTTAAAACAAATAAAAGGAAGTATTTCTTCACACAAAGCACAGTCAACCAGTGGAACTCCTTGCCAGAGGATGTTGTGAACACCAAGACGATAACAGGGTTAAAAAAAAAACCCCTAGATAAATTCATGGAGGATATGTCCATCAATGGTTATTAGCCAGGATGGGCAGGAATGGTGTCCCTAGGGGGGGAGGGATAGCTCAGTGGTTTGAGCATTGGCCTGCTAAACCTAGGGTTATGCATTCAATCCTTGAGGGGGCCACGTAGGGATCTGGGGCAAAAATCAGTACTTGGTCCTGCTAGTGAAAGCAGGGGGCTGGACTCGATGACCTCTCAGGGTCCCTTCCAGCTCTATGAGATAGGTGTATCTCAATATACGAATAGCCTCTGTTTGCCAGTAGCTGGGAATGAGTGACAGGAGATGGATCACTTGATGATTACCTGTTCTGTTCATTCCCCCTGGGGCACCTGGTTCTAGCCCCTGTCGGAAGACAGGATACTGGGCTAGATGGACCTTTGGTCTGACCCAGTAGGGCCATTCTTATGTTTGCATAAAAGCCCACATGCAAAGTCAGAAGCTAGCTGACTTCCACAGTCTTCTGGTTTCCACTTCCAGCATCCCCCAGAACAGATCACTCAATGCGAGCACCTAACCAGAACAGGGGGGAAAACAGCAAACTTAGTTTTCGCTTTTGTAATTATTGAGTAATATTTGTTCTCTTCCCCACCCCCTCCACATTTAAAGCTAATTTGTTTTCACAATTGTCTTTGTCTCTAACAAGAGATTATACAACTCTCACCTACAGAACAATAGTGTTTAACTGTCAAAGCTTCCTTCAAGATCATCTCACTATTTTCCCTCCTGTTTACCTCTACTTCTATATGGCAGCTCTCCTTACAAAGGGACAGCTTTGCTGTTGGAAGTCTGTCCCTTTCCTCCCACTCTTTAAAGAGAGACTGTCAGTTTATGCCAAAATATTTAGATTTGTACAAGCAGAATATTGGGACTTGTTTTGGACACTGCCGTTAAAAACCCTTTTGAGGCATTTACAAGCTCAGCAAGGTAGCATTCACCTATACACCAGAACCTGAAAGTGAAACCAACAAGCTTACCCAGGAGAAGAGAAATGCAATAAGTAAACAAGATAAAGATAGGCTACAGAACAAACAGCACCAACAGGGAAGGTTAAATGAGATGTTTAGATTCCAGTCAGCAACTTCAGATGTTGTTAGTGAGGCAAATCAGGAAGACTGCAATGTTTCTGGGTGAAGCTTCCTGGCAACACCCCACAGGTGTACAGACAACAGCCAACAACTTGGACATCCCAC